AGACATAGTATACCACCCTGTGGCAAACTCCTGCTATTACACACGTGGTTCCACTCCCAGGCACTTTCAAAGACAAAAGCGTGGACAGAAAAGAGAAGATTGTGAACAGAAAAAACCTGCAATTTTAAAAATAAAAAGCTAAGGAATTTTCGTGCAGGTCATGTGGTCACTGAAAAAATGATAACAAGCATATGCAAGTCTATAAAATAAAAAGCAACTCTATAGAAGTTTAATAAAATGGCTCAACAATAACAAAAATATTTTCTAAGTTTTTTTCAATAAACTAATGAATTGCTTTCTTAGTTCAAGTTGCCTGTCTTTTTAAATAATGTTTTCATTATTTTTATAAATAACTCCAGGCAACAAATGTAGCATGATTTCAGCATTTTCCACAATTTAATTTTCTGAAACACAGACTTTGAGCTGCTGGGACCAATGTTAATCTGATGTACTCACAATATTATCTCACTATTTTTCCTGCAGATATCTGTAGTATTTATTCAGCACATGGAATATTGTATGTTACCCTAGAGCTTCCCTATCTGGAGGAAGTTATGCTCAAAGCATTTCTTTTCCTCCTTCTTCAATAATAATTGTATCCCAAATGGTCATGCATTGATATGATTACAACTTCTGAGATTCCAAAATACAATAAATCCATCCTCTTTTACAGAATTATCATACTACCCATGTGTGCCTGCTGATAAAAATTTCTAGCCAATAAGCATAACACCATTACAGTTGCTGCATGAAATAAAAGAAAAGGGCAGCAGATGTGTGTGTTTACTTCTGTGAATAAAACTCCTTCTGGAGAAATAAAGGAGAATCATGTTGAATGGAATAAGGAATTTGTGCAGTATGAGAACCAAGGGCTATGGTAGATGCTCACTAACTGTTATATTTTACTAATTTAAATCAGGAGCAAAGCAACATGTCTACGTAATTAAAGAAATAGTTTGGTCTAGTGGTTCATATTAGAAACCAGGAGACTGTGAGTTCTAGTCCTGCCTTAGGCATTAAAAGCAGTTGGGTGACTTTGGGCCAGTCACACTCTCTTAGCCCACCATGTGAGGCTCAGGAGAGAAGCAGCTCAGTCAAATTCCTGTCACAACCAAATGGATCAATATTTGGTTGATTTGAAAAAAAAGTGGACCCTGCACTTGCAAGAAAATTGCTAGGAAGAAAAATAATTGTCCCCTTCTCTATACTGGATCAAAGCAAAAGGTAAGTTTTCATTCAGGATCCTGCAGTAGTCAATGTAATGTTCCTAAAGTCAAAACCTTGAGCATTATTCCTAATTTTTATAATTTTCACAAGTTGCAGCCCTCTCCTGCCTATTTCCACACAATATCTGACATTCAAAGATACACTGCTTTTACGACTTTGAAAAAAGAAAGACCAATTTAGCTAATATTACATAGGGTAAGAGTAACAGAAAATTTTTCTAATACACCTTCCTGTTTTCTGAAAATGGATGAAATATCACAAAGAAATATTATTTCTTGACGATCCTGCCCGCTCTAATTTGTCTGATGTCAAGCAAACAATATCCTGTTGTTCTGTTCATGCTCACTCTTTCTTGGCAAGCTCTATTCTTCCAAGTGATTTCGTGGGAATAATAAGGGATGACATTTTCATTCTTGGGCATTTGCACAGAATTAAGCATTTGGCTTGAGACCCAGGAGCTGCAATATTTATGCAGGAAAAATGGACTATCAGTGATTACCCTGTTTTATTTGGTGTTTGAGAAATGCTCTGCAGGAGATTCTTTCCTAGCATTAGCTCCAAGCCTGAGAGGACAGTTAGAAAGCTGTCTTCCTAAAAAACTTCTTCGATATCACCATGTTTGGTTTTGTAGCTGGTGCTATAATGAAATGGCTCCTACTGATAATCATTCATTTTATTGACTTCTCACTTACTGTAGATTGTGCTTTCATATTACTGGTAAATATACACCATTTGTTTGCTGTAACTTTTAGATGCCACTTGAAGCCTTGAAACAGGAGATTCAAATATCTTGCATTAGTTGTAACTGAGTATAAGTAGTCTCTGTGTTTCAAGTTTAATTTTATTTTATAATTGAAAGCTAGAAAGAATTTTCGTTTTCATGTAAGAGAGTTCATAAAAGATGTGGGCCATGGGGAGAGTGGAGAGAAGAAAGCTATTGCCAGTTTTATATTTCTCTCTCTCCCATCCCTAAAGTTGGCTATATTCTCAAATGGGCTGAACATAATAATCTTAGAAGTTGTAGTGTTCTACACATATTTTGCTACTGTGAGTTTTGGCTGATTATGCTGAAAGTATAAACATCAGAGTAATCAGTGGATGGGCTTTGTTTGTTTATGACAACATTAGCAGATGGCAAGACAGATGTCATGACGGCATAATTTGGCTTCTTTCTTTATATTTTATTGGGGTTTTCAGTACATGATTACCTTTTGGCAACAGCTTTCAAAGGTGTTCGTTTTCAACAGGCTAGGAACAGCAATAAAAAGGGCAATATGAATGAAATGAATGAAAATGACAAGGGGGTAGCATGCTAAGATTCAGAACTTTTTTAGTTTGGCCTACACCCTTTTATTATCTGTATTAGATGAAAAAGAGGGGGTCAGCCAAACAGCTTACATGTCTTCAGCTAAATAAAACAAGTAAGTAGCAAATATTCAGTATGATCATGTGATCACTGTAATTAATAGACCAAACAGTTTATAAAAAGTGGACAAAAATGGGGAATCAAATATTTAAACTGGTATGCACAGACCAAATATCTAAACAGCCCTTCAAATTGGATTTCAAATGATAAAGGGGCATCCTTCTAGCTTTGTAATATTTATTATATATTTATTTGCAAAAATAAAAGCACATAGCATTCATTTCTGGTATATTCTATTACAAATAAAATAAAACTCAAAAGAACATAAGTATTTTACAAAAATGATGCATCTTGCAGAACAGAATTAATATTTGAATGAATTTATTTTCAGAAATAAACCATTAATGTCAATACTCTGTGAAAATTCTTTTGTGCATTAGCAAATTCATTAGCAAATCCATTTCTCCATTCTTCATAATCCCCAAAATTATTATTATTTACTTTCAGGATAAAACTTCTGAAAACTTACTAATGTAATTCCTTCTGCCTCTTCTACTCCATCCTTAAGGGACAATTGCTCTCTTGTGTACTTTAATAAAGCCATTTCCTCCCTTTATAACTGTTGCATTTCTAATGCAGAAATGATGGTAAAAACATTTATTCCCTGCCCTACATGCTGCAAGCTGCCTAATGAGCAAGATATTATTAAACCCTTTTTTCCTGTTGTTTGGAGCATAACTTTCTGCTCCATTGCTGTTTGGCTTTCCAATCCCTTTGGAATTGAGACTTACGAGTGAGAATAGGCCTTTACTATATATCATCTGATCTGAATGAAGTATAAACACGGGTCCACTTATATTGTTCAGGAGTGGCGACCAAAACCATAATACATAATCATTCCAGGACATTTACAATATTATTGCTGAGGCAGTGAAAGTATGAAAAAAGTGTCTAAAACATGTGGCAGAGCATAAACTGATGCCTTGGCCAAAAGAGGGGAAAATCCACACAAAACAAAACAAGAAGGAGCAAATATATCACCACCATTTAATTTACCATTATGCATGACTTTTTAACAAAAGTTTTAGGCTTATCATATTTTCCAGACCTGATTGTATAATATCATTTATAATCTGGTTTTCCATAAAACCCATGCCAAATTTCATTATAAGCCCAGGATGGGCAATGCATAAGCAGCCACAATCCCCTGTCTGTTATTTCTCTACATTAATGATTACAGTGGACATGATCAGCCTCTGGGAGACACAATGCCTTCTTTATGACCAGAGTCTCAACAGTGTCTCCTAAATGCTTGAAAATATTTGACCAAACCCACTCAGTGACATCCCCATATCCCTGGATATACCTGTATCCATTAATGTCCATAGTAATTTTAGAAAGAAAGAAAGAAAGAAAGAAAGAAAGAAAGAAAGAAAGAAAGAAAGAAAGAAAGAAAGAAAGAAAGAGAAAGAAAGAAAGGAAGGAAGGAAGGAAGGAAGGAAGGAAGGAAGGAAGGAAGGAAGGAAGGAAGGAAGGAAGGTGTCCATAATAAAAATTGCCTGTTCCTAAGACTGAATGAAGCCTGTTCCCATGATTATTATTTTTTGGGGGGGGGGGGGAGAGGTGGCATGTATACTTGTTAACCAGGCTTTGGAGTTTAGTAAGTCAAGTGATATTTTTAAATGTATGTTTTCGGGGAGGCTAATAGCTAAATAGAGAAGCTCACATTATACATATTGTATGTGCAGGCCTGGACTTCTCCCCTCAACTCTCCTCTCTTCTTTTTGTTATTTTTAATGGTGTTGGAATGTTTATATTAGGAGATGGTAAGTAATTGAGTAGTAGATGAATGCAGCATTTAAAACAGATAGAATATTTAACATTCTATCCTTGGGTGATAAAATGTATCTTGTTTATAAATGTATGAATTGCTGTGGAACCATATATAAACAACAGTATAGATATAGAATATTGTTAAGCAGGCATTGGAAAGGAAAACATAAGCATATCTTTCATTTGATAATAGTTACGTTACTGCCGTTGTTATTTTCTATTAAGTTATTGGTGTTAAAAATTCTTCTTCAGATTCTGGGCAGAGTTTGATAACTAGAAATAGCAATCCATCAGGTTAATCAGAACCTGCCATTTTTATAATGCAGACTGCCCAGTTCTTGTCACATCTCCTATTTACAATGTCCAGGAATGCATTTGGAAACAGAGATTTATCATGCCCTTTGTGTTTCAGTCTCTATAGCTGGTAGGATATGCTCACCTTGGTGCAGCACAAGATTTGTAAACCTGGTTTAATATATCTTGATGTAATTCTTGGTATCTTTTGTAGGCTTTTCACCTTGCAGAAATCCAAGATGGTAAATTTCTTATCATTTTTCTGCTTGTATACTTTTAGAGGCAACTGTTCTAAGCTATGATGGAAGCATGTTTATGAAAATTCAACTCCCTATGGTGATGCACACAGAAGCAGAAGATGTCTCCTTACGGTTCAGGTCTCAGAGAGCATATGGCATTCTGATGGCCACGACTTCAAGAGAATCTGCTGATACATTGCGTTTAGAGCTGGATGCAGGACGAGTTAAGCTAACAGTCAACCTAGGTAACATTCTTCCCCCTCTCCCATCCTAAAATTTACATTTCAAACATCCTTTTTTATCTTTGCCTGCTAGCATCAATTCAATAGCCTGTTTGACACTGAAAATAACTTGTCTTTTATATATGAAATTTGTACGTGTGTGTGTGTATGTGTATTTGTAATATTATTCCATTATTTATTTATTTAGTTAGTTGAGATTTATATTCTTTTATTTTTGTGCATTCCTTTACAACCCATTACAATTAATTTTGAGCTGCAGCCTGTTCTAAAAAGAGAAGACCAGCACTTCAGTGGTGTTAATGGGGTATTCTGTTTTGAAAAAAAATTGTACCTAAGATGATTTATCCTGATAGATATGTCCATATTGCTAGAAATCAAGTATTCCTTTGGCACAAGGTACAAGTGCCTATTCAGTACCAACCTCCACTTCTGTTCCTGAAAAGCTGTATTCCTGGCTCTGTGTTTGTGTTTGGCAATCTCTCACCAGTTATATAAACTTTGAAGAAACTAACACTCTGTGCCAATACCATGTTATTGTCAGTGTCATGGATGATGATAGTCTGCGAGTGGTCCAAAATAATAAAAAAAAATTCCCTGGTTTTTCTGTGTGGCCTATAGTCAGAAACCACACCTAAGTAAGTTACTCGTGAAAACAAAGTTTATTCTAAAATGTTCACAAATATGTCAGAGCCATCCTGATTATAGTTTACTGTTTCTAGCAATTTCTAATACATTGCAGTTTATGTAAAATGTGCGCACAAGTATAGAAATAAGATATCTTGCAAATCTATACCACAATTATAAGTGATATGTTTGTTTGCCACGGTCTTCTCTCTCTGTAGCAGTCTGTCATTCTATGTTACCAAAATCATCTTTCCTCCCTGCTTTCTGTTGTTCCTTAAAAATGCTCCCACAAACTTCATATTGGTTTTTCTGTGTGTCACAAATAAGACAACCCTTCAATGCCCAAAGTCTGCGGCCCTCAGCAAACAGCCATGTGAACACGAACCACATAAACTCTTCTGCAGAACTGAGATCATGCTTTCTAGCGGTGTTTTTGTTTTTTGTAAACAAACTCCTTTCTTCATTCACAAAGCACATTTACTGTAGGTTTTCTTGAAGAGCTTCATTTTTTGAGAATATTTTCCAGACCATTCATGCAGCATACTGAAAAGCTAACCTGAAGTGATTTCACTTTTAATTTGAAAAAAAGAAAAACCCACTAATAGGACAGTTGATATATTCAAACCCCATTTCTAAGGAACCCTGAATGGTTGAATTTTGATGGTGTTAAGGAGATTTTGCAGTGGGGAATTCTTCTTTTACCTAGAGCCCTCTTGTGGCAATTGTAAGTTACTGCAAGCTGCTATATAGTTTTGAGTTGAGAAAATGGCAGGGGCTGACAATGAAATGGGGACTATTTCAAGAGAGCTTTCTGTAGACAGAGGCACATAGGGGATGTTCCTTGGCTGTTTGCAACCACTTTTCTGATGCGGTTGACGACACATGACAAACTCAGCTACATGGAAACAAAATCTAAGGGTCTTTTTTTTCTTTAAATGTCTATAAATCCTCAAAGACCTTGAAGAGGAATAATTAAAATGCTGATTATCTGAGCATAAATCATTCATCCATAGAAAACCTAGCAGAGTATACATACAGAAGCAATGGAACAAAAGCAACGGTTTTCTTTTTACAAGCCTTATTCATTCTGAGATTCAAAAGTCACTATTGACGCGTAGGTGTGGGAAAAGAGACAAAAAGCAAACAATCAATCATAGATTTGATTGAGAATAATTACACTTTAAAAATAAAGATTACATGAAGGAATCACTTTCCAGCTATTTATGAATTGTTTAAATGGAGTTACAGATATTCCAGAAATTGAGAAGAAATCTAAAGTAGTTTAAGTATGGCATTTTAAATGTTGAAAAATGTATCCTCCTTTGAGGTAATACCAGTGGCCCAGAATGTGAGATTTTAGCCTTGGCGAGCACTATTCCCCATTGTGACGGAGCATTTTTTGAAATTATAATAGAGATTGCTTTGTTCTTTCATATATGGGAGAAAATGTTGCAGCCAGCTTAAATCCACTGACTGGAACCATTGCCACAAACCATTTTTCTCACTTAGATTTGTCACCATGTAGCTTTGTTTGAAATTGGCCATTTTTTTTGTTATCCTATTATCACTTCTTCTACTTCTAAAGTCTTATCACCATATAACTGCATTCTCTGGCAATACGGAAAGAATCAAAACATATATAGTGGCCATGTTTGCATGTGTCTGTCCCCGGAAGGGTGGAATGTGATTTTACTGGATGTCTGCAGCTAATACTTTGAAGGATAAATTTTCATTTCTCATCTATTCTTCCCCATCTAGACTGTATCAGGATTAACTGTAATTCCAGTAAGTGCCTATTCAAAATTTTTAAATTTATTATTCCTCCATTATGAAGTATTTGAAAACTTTAGATTATATAACATGCCGCATATCATTTTTGCGTAGTAGAATGACTTCCATGGGATGGGAGGTACCTTGGGAAAAATGTCATGGATACAAAAAGAAACCATAACATAACTCTGCCTTGACCCCTCTATACTTCCAAATAATGGTTTAGAATAATTTCAAGAATATTGGCAGAGATTTTTGGAGTTTCAAATCAATTTTGAAAGGAAAAATATTTTTATTAATATCATTGTATGACCAATTAGTTGCTGTTTATGAACATGCACTTGAATGATGGCAAATCCTTAGTCCAAAAAAATTAAAAGATGTTTAAAGTAATTCAATATTTAAATGTATTTCTCATTCTTAAAACAAAAAAGAAATCTTTTTGACTTCCTATTGCAACATACTTAAAAGCAAAACAACTACACACACTTCTAGATAAGCATTCAACAATTATTCTTCTAAATTAAGCGTTTTCTCTGAGTTCTTTCACTAATACATTTTGCTTGAATGAAATGAAAACTTCAATGAATGTTTTAACAATATTAAAGGTTATATCTGTGTAATGGTTTCTTTTTGATTCTACAGTATATTGTTTTTATTATATGTCTTGCATCATTTTTACTGGGTAAACTGATAATAAGTTTTTAATCTTTCTGATATTATTTGGATTAAGATTCTATGTTCTGAAAGAGGATTGTGGACTGTGATTTTATTTTGAGTCTGTGGATCTCCCAAACATTCTATAGTAAGTACAATAGATTTTATTTTTCCTTTTGGGGAAGGATGTTAAATGTTGCAGCTTTTACATAGTCAGTGTACATTAATATACAAATAAATGACCAAGTATATGATGGACTTAAACCTACTTATATCAATTTCAATGGAAAAATTTTAAAAGTGATCTTAACAATTCCACTGATAATAAAATTGAAAGATTCTAACAGGTCAACAACCTGCGGATCCGGAGCTGCATGCGGCTCTTTAAGCCTTCTCCTGCGGCTCCCAGCCTCTTCTGCCATTTGCAGAAAAAGACAGAGACAGAGAGAGGTACTTCCACTTCCCTTCTCTCTCTCTCTCTCTCTCTCTCTCTCTCTCTCTCTCTCTCTCTCTCTCTCTCTCTCTCTCTCTCTCTCTCTCTCTCTCTCTCTCTTTCTCTCTCTCTCTCTGTGTATGTGTGTGTGTGTGTGGCCTCACCCTGTTCAAAGAGCTGAAAAGCTTATTGGGCGGGGCTCCTGCCTTGGCTGCATCTCTGCAGGAAGCAGGAAGCAGGAAGGGGAGGAGAGAGCAGCCTGTTGCAGAACAACTTGAAGCCAGATTGCCAGATGAGCAGAAGATCAGAGAGAGGGGAGGGAGAGAAAGAGAGAGAGGGAGAGGAGAGAGAGAAAGAGAGAGGGGGAGAGGAAAGAGAGAAAGAGAAAGAGAGAGAGAAAGAGAGAGGGGGAGAGGAAAGAGGGAGAGGAAAGAGAGAAGGGAAAGAGAAAAAGAGAGAGAAGGAGAGGAGAGAGAAAGAGAAAGAGAGAGAGAGGGAGAGAGAGAGAGAGGGAGGGGAGAGAGGAAAGAGAAAGAGAAAGAGAGAGAGGAGAAGTGCCTCTATCTCTCTCTCTCTCACACACACACACACACACACACACACACTGAGTGGGGGAAGAGGACTGGCAGAACAAGGGCAGAAAGAGAGAGGGAGAAGGAGGGAGAGAGAGGGAGGGAGGGAGAGAGAGACAGAGAGAGACCCTTTTGACATCTAAAATGAAGATAACACTGCATATATCCTTTTTTACCTTTATTATAGGTATATATATATATATATATATATATATATATATATATATATATATATATATATAT